CGGTCCCTGCAGCGGGACGCCCCGCAGGGCGCGGGGAGCGGCCACTGCGGTGACCCTGCCCAAGCGACCCCGGGGCCGCAGCCCGCGGGGTGTGTCGGCCTCGGGGTGCCCAGAGTGTCCCCCCAGCTGTCCCTGCTTCGCCGGCCTCAGCTCTGCGTGCTGCCGGGGTGCGCTGCGCCCGCCTCACTGCCTGGTGTTTGAAGTGTTTATAGGAGAGCCAGGACCCGCCCAGAGCGAGGAGCGCCCGCAGCGGCCACCAGGGCGGGCGGCCACCAGGGCGGGCGGCCACCAGGGCGGGCGGCCACCAGGGCGGGCGGCCACCAGGGCGGGCGGCAGGCCGGCCCTTCCTACTCAGCCAGTGAAACGATGTGTTAGCCCCTCTCCCCCATTTACACCGAAGAGGACTGACGCTTACAGGATTCAGGGGTCTGGGGACCTGGGATTAGATCCGTGGTCTAAGTACTGACACGAACCTCCTCCTTCGCCTTTCAGCAAAGAAAACACCCGGGTGGGAAACCGCAGGGTCCAGAAACTCAAGTTAGAGAGTGTGGAAAAGCAGTGGGAGCCCTAACACTTGGTTTCTTGTACACTTTCAAGAGGTGGAAATGTTTGCGTGTTCACCCCAACTCGTCCGGGGCCCTGTCCTGCGTAGTGGTTTTAGGGTGCCCTCCCCGGCATGGCCGGACCTCACCCCAGTGTCGGGCCGCGTGTCTGCGCCCCCAGACGGGTCAGAAGTGACGCAGCCTGGCCGTGGCGCGCACGGGCTCCTCTTCGCGCGCACCTGTGGGTGCCAGGGGGGCGCACGCCCACGGGACCAGCAGCAGCAGGGCGCCGCCCTAAAGCAGCCGCACGCGGCCAGCGAGGGGAGGCGGGCACGCAGTGGCCAGCTCAGGTGGCCTCGAGGGTGGTCTCTGGGTGGGGCCCCCTCGGAAAGGTGGGCTTCCGTGGCCGGAGCAGGCCAGACGGCAGCGGCTTGCTCCCGCCGAGACCAGCGCGTGCTGCTTTGAGCCTTGCCCTGAGCCGGCCTCGCTGCTGCATGCTGTGAGCTGCGTCCCAGTGGCCTCCTTGGGGCGCGTGGGTCGGGGGGGCCGCCCTGGCCGTCCTGGTGAGCTTTCCCGGGAGCTCAGATCGTTCCTGGTGTTCAGTAATTGGTTCCACAAACGACGCTACAGCACCGGCACGGTCACTCGGCTTGGTGGTTGACCGCGGAGCTCCGCACCTCTGGAAAGTTCGTTTTACACGGTGTACATAGTTTAACCCCATTAAAGTAGCTCCGGTGCCTCAGAGATTCTAACAGAACTGACGGGAACATGGAAACCCACAGCGTCACGTCTCGGGAAGTAATGTCCACCGTGGCCCGAGACGCTCCGTCCCCCTTCAGAAGTCACCCTGTGAAAGCCGTCTCGTGACATTTCACCGGCTTTTACTTTTGTTGCAGCGAGCAGGCTTGCGGGGTTCCCAGTGCTCCTCTCCCTGCACGGCGATTACGTCAACGGCGTGTTACGTGATACCTGGCCGACACGCGGCGCGGGCCCCAGTGGGCGCGTGGCCCCTGCGTGGCCGGGGGGAGGGTAGCCGGCTTGGGAAGCTGAGCCCAAGGGTGTGCTGAGAAGCTTAAATACGCAGAGCGAGCGAGTGAGCACGCAGGCGGAAAGCTGGGTGAGAGGGCGCCAGGGGGCCATTGCGGGTTTGCAGGGGGGTCGGTCTGCTGCAGCCAGCAGGGACGGGCGGTGGACTCGCTCCAGCGCCTGGTTTGTCTGTAAGACCAGGACGGGGAGCCCAGCGCGAAGCGTCCAGGTGCTAAGAACCAAGTCTCCGCTCTCTGCGCCAGTGACCTAGGGAAAATGTCCTTGTGCCCGGTGCTGTGTGGCAGCCTGGCCGCAGAAAGAAGAATGCAGGACAGGCCGCTCCTCGGACGCCCGCAGTGAAGGGGCTCAGCTGCTCGCTCCTCTTCCGTCACCGCGGGCACCCCACCTCGGCAGCGCGTGCCCAGCGCGTGCGGCATGGGAGCAGCCAGCGGGAGCCCAGCGAGGGAGGCAGGTCCCTGGGGGGTGCTTTTCAGCCCTGAGAAGCCGGAGGCGGCCGGCGTGCGCTCCCGCCTGAGTGCCGCGGGGCTGAGCACCAGCCCTGGTCACCTTCCAGAGCAGAGGCTGGAACAGACGCCCCTGATTCCGGCCCCCGGCGCTGGCAGCCCGTCACCAGGCAGCGCCCGCTCCGGAGGCCTCCGCCCTAGGGTCCAGCCCAGTCCCTCCCGGGCTCTGAGTCTCTCTCTCTTTGTTTTGCTAGTCAGAGCGAGGAGCCGCTGTCGCGCCCATGGCTGCTGCACCCACGCAGACCCCGCCCACGGTCGCCTCGCATGTCCCTTTCGCAGATCTGTGCTCCACTCTGGAACGGATACAGAACAGTAAGGTGCGTGCAGAGAAGGTCAGGCACTTCAGGGAGTTCCTAGATTCGTGGCGAAGGTTCCACAGCGCGCTCCATAAGGACCAGAAAGATGTCACAGACTCGTTTTACCCCGCCATGAGGCTCATTCTTCCGCAGCTGGAGAGGGAGCGGATGGCCTACGGAATCAAAGAGACGATGCTCGCCAAGCTTTACATCGAGCTGCTCAACCTGCCCAAGGGCGGGAAGGACGCCCTCAAGCTCCTGAACTACCGGACGCCGACGGGGACGCGGGGCGACGCCGGGGACTTCGCCACCGTCGCCTACTTCGTGCTGAAGCCGAGGTGCTTGCAGAAGGGGAGTCTGAGCGTGCAGCAGGTCAACGCCCTGCTCGACTCCGTGGCCAGCAGCAACGCCGCCAAGAGGAAGGACCTGGTCAAGAAGAGCCTCCTGCAGCTGGTCTCCCGGAGCTCCGCCCTCGAGCAGAAGTGGCTCATCCGCATGGTCCTCAAGGACCTGAAGCTGGGCGTCAGCCAGCAGACCATCTTCTCCGCCTTCCACGGCGACGCCGCCGAGCTGCACAGCGTCACCACGGACCTGGAGAAGGTGTGCCGCCAGCTGCACGACCCCGCGCTGGGGCTCAGCGACATCTCCATCGCCCTGTTCGCCGCCTTCAAGCCCATGCTCGCCGCCATCGGGGACATCGAGCGCGTCGAGCGGGACATGAAGCACCAGAGCTTCTACATCGAGACCAAGCTGGACGGCGAGCGGATGCAGATGCACCGCCAGGGCGACGTGTACGAGTACTTCTCCCGCAACGGCTTCAAGTACACGCCGCAGTTCGGGGCGTCCCCGCGCGAGGGCTCGCTCACGCCCTTCGTGCACGGCGCCTTCAGGGCCGACGTCCACGCGTGCATCCTGGACGGGGAGATGATGGCCTACAGCCCCAGCACGCAGACGTTCACGCCGAAGGGGAGCAAGTTCGACATCAAGAGGATGGTGGAGGACTCGGACCTGCAGACCTGCTTCTGCGTGTTTGATGTGTTGATGGTGAACGGCAGGAAGCTGGGGCACGAGACGCTGAGGAAGAGGGATGAGATCCTGCGCAGCCTCTTCACGCCCGTCCCCGGCCGCTTGGAGACGGTGCAGAAAGCGCAGGCCCGCACCAAGCAGGACGTCATCGACGCCCTGAACGAAGCTATCGACAAGCGGGAAGAGGGGATCATGGTCAAACAGCCTCTGTCCATCTACAAGCCGGACAAGAGAGGAGAAGGGTGGCTGAAGATCAAACCCGAGTACGTGGACGGGCTGATGGACCAGCTGGACGTGCTGATCGTGGGGGGCTACTGGGGCAAAGGCCTGCGCGGGGGGATGATGTCTCACTTCCTGTGTGCCGTGGCCGAGACACCCCGGCCCGGCGAGGAGCCGTCCGTGTTCCACACGCTGTGTCGCGTGGGCTCGGGCTACACCATGAAGGAGCTGTACGACCTGGGCCTGAAGCTGGCCGAGCACTGGAAGCCTTTCCACAGGAAGGCGCCGCCCGCGGGCATCCTGTGCGGCACGGAGAAGCCCGAGGTGTACATCGAGCCCCGCCGCTCGGTCCTCGTCCAGATCAAGGCGGCCGAGATCGTGCCCAGCGACATGTACAGGGCCGGCTGCACGCTGCGCTTCCCGCGCATCGAACGCATCCGCGACGACAAGGCCTGGCACGCCTGCATGACGCTGGACGAGCTGGCGCAGCTGCGCGGGCGCGCCTCCGGG